ATGTTTATAACATCGTCTATAACTCCTGCACTAGCACGATTATGAATTCCCTGGGAGCTATAAAATTGAATTTGCCCGAGGGATAGCTACATTTTCTTTTCTCCCATAGTAATTTCATTGTAATAAAATAAAATGCGAAATGCTAAAATTACGTAAAAGTTAAGAATATTCAATTCAGGTATCTTAAATGTATATTACCTAAACTTTATAAATGTACTTTTAACATATTAATTTTATTTTTGTTTTTAAATTTCAATCATTATTTCTATACTTTTGATAACATTTGCTATTTGTAGTAGGTAATAGATAGATACTCCCGATTTCTCGTTTTTTTATATTTCTCATCCAGTCACAATTTGATAACAGTTTTTATAATTATATTTATTTATATTTTAAATATGTGCATATTACGACGTCTGTAAATTATTTATTTATTATAAATATTATATATAAAAAGTCCAAAAAGGGGAGGATCTTAACGTCCTTTAGCCCGCTCTTGAATCCACTCCTGTGAGTTACGACTTACAGACATTCCTGCAACTGGTGTCCATCTATCACGACTGATACTAAACATTACCTTGAAAATCCATCAAATTGCAATTCAATTCTACAAATATAAAATGTTAATATACCATGCGTATTATAAAAGATTATCGAGTAGGTACCTACTCCAACACTAACATAACTTCTCCTTTAGTTGAAGACTTCTTACAACTTCTTCATTATTTAAATCACTGCGGGTTCAATAATTGCGGTTAAGGGGGCTGCTGCAGATGAAAAAATAGTGACATTTAGACCAATAAGCTAGACAAAACTGGAAGAATTTGGTTTGAGAGATTTTAATTTTGAAAACGGATTATGATTGATCAACAAGTTTACTCGGGAATGATCGAGGCGATTTTGAATATTTTTTTTTTCACCCGTGAAATCCAAGAAAAAAAATATCAAAAAAATATGATATTTTTGTATTTATATTATTCATTATGATACTAACAATAATTGGAATATTCACTATCGCCTCGATCATTCCCTAGTAAACTTGTTGATCAATCATAATACGTTTTAAAAATTAAAATCTGTCGAACCAAGTTCTTCCAGTTTTGTCTAGCTTATTGGTCTAAAAGTCACTTTATTTTCATTGACTGGAGCCCCCTCCAGCCACCTTAAGGTTTATTTTATGATACGGTATTTAAATATATGGAAAAACACTATAACAAACAAAATTAATGTTTAGATTGGCCAAATCTACATTAGTTTTGACTTTTGACAAAACCTGCTGCAGCCCCCTTAACTTGGAATGTGTTATAATTTATATTTAAAATACAAAATAAATAACATACTCGACACTCGTGTAACTTGGGTATACTGGTTTTATTCAGGGATTTCGGAAACGTTAAAAACATTATTTATCTCTTGAATAATATTGATACCATGTGTTTACGAATTATGTGATTTTCAATTTTATTTTATACAATGTTTATTTTCTAGACAACTTCTTTTGTTTATCATAAAAATATGTACAACATGATCATTTGAATATATGTCATGCTGAAAGATGTTTTGTGAAAAACCCAATTAATATTACCTAATCGTTTTTAATTGTATACAGTTTACAATAAATAGTACACGATATTATACTAATATATTTTAAAATAATAAACTGCATACATAAGTATATTATATGAAACTTTGTGTAGTACCTACACTCACTTGTTTACACTCACTTGTACCTACACATACTATAGTGATTAGTGAGTCAATTTCTTTTGTGGTATCACACGTTGTTTCTTTATTTTTTCCACAGCAGAACTCAACTTTAAATATGTAGATAATTCATTTGATTTTCCTAAAATAATATGTTTATTCATGGGTTCGTTGGTTTTGGAAAACAGTTACACGTGCAGTATATTTTAATTTATTCTGGGAATTTCTAAGTAAAATGTAGGTTAAAGATAAATCGCATAATGACCCTTCATAATATAGCTATATAGACACTAGCTAGTGGCATGTCCCACGTGACTTTTTATTTCAGTATTCACAATGAGAAAATGGAAATTCGCACAATGGGACGTCCAGACGAATACCTTAAGTACCTATATAAATGTATTATGAGTTATGACTATTATGTATTATTATTGATATAAGCACAATTGGTCATTAATCATCGTTCGTCTGAAACCATTATATTCATGAGATCATTTTTTTACATGTTATAGTTGGATTTTTTCCATGGCTTTCCACCATTATCATGTATGAGGACGAATTCTAAAATATAAACTTTCTCTAAAAAAGAGGAACATTTCTAATCTTATTTTTATAAATTATAATATTTATCAAATAATAGTTAAAATTTAAAACATAATTTATCATTTAAAACGACTTCTTTTTTTTTTAGATTTTAGTAGGTACGTGTTATAAACATTGTCAAAAACAGTAGGATTGTAGATCATATTATTAATAATATATCCAAACGTAATTAGTAAAACCTTTGTGTAATGTTTTACAAGTACAACTCCAAAAAAATCTCTCGTAGATCTTTTCTTCATTTCATTAATCTTTACATCGTATTTCTCAGTTGAATGTATCCAATTAACTAAATATTGGAATTACAAAAGCTTTTTTTTATCTTATGGTGTCTGGGCTAGATAAACTTTAATGTGAAATTGGTACCTAACTAATAAATAAATAGTATAATACAATCAAAACAAATTTGAATTATAAATTAGCATTATTTTATTATTTAGGAGACTCCAATAGATATGGATCTTACACAATGGAGGTGGATGAACAGTATGATGATAGACATAAGAGTAATATAACGTGGGGTACAAAGAAAAGAAGCTGCAGAATATAATATACAGGCAGTGGCAGAGGTGGTTATGAGATCGTAAATTGTTGGATTACCCCACACTTGATCTCTGTATTCTTTTTTTAAATTTATTATATTTTATTTATTATAAAGTATAATTCAGAATTTGTAATTTGTTTAATAAATATATGTTTTTGCTATTTTTAGTTTTGGTGGTTTGGCCAAATTGAAAGTGTCTTTATATTTATTCGGAGTGTGATGGCATTGACTTAGATAATCTATAAAACCTTCTGATTACACGTTTTTTTCAATAACTATAATGTACATATTTCCAAAGGTATTAATTATTATTATACCAAAACTATAATAATAATCACATAATATTATATTATATTTATGTATATCAAAAAATGTCCATGTAGGGGGTTAACTAAACGTATAAGCATCCATTTTGTTTGTACTTGGTTGTCTTAAGTTAATTATTTTTTTATATTTACTAATTATGTGTTAAAGACATTTAAAAAAATTAAATAATTTACAAATCACTTTTCATCCAGTATTCCGTGCAGGAACAAAATCAATTTTACTTCTCGAAATAACTGTTTAGTTATTATTTTCAACATAATATATGAGATGATGAAAATTTATCTCAAAACACATAGGTAGGTCTAAAATATAAATAACAAATCAACTGCACTGCAATAAATGAAAATATCGTTCACAATAAAATACTCGAGCACCAACAATCCGAAAAAAGCAAAAATTAATAAAACATCCCTCAACATTTCGAAAGGATTTCTCATGACATTTTTAAAAGCACATTGGTTTATGAGTATTATAATCGGTTTCACACCATGATACAAAATCCCATTTTCTAACTTTATAGATTAAAACTCAATTTAAAAAACGTTTACTCAAAACTACATAGATGTCAATCTTCAGCCTCTTTCCTTCGTACCACCCAATTAGGCGTTGGATAAAAATGAAAAAAACAGTGTCAAGACTCTGTTGATAAATTTAAAATTTAATCAGATATTATAGACTTTATATAGTTGTGGTAGTTTAATGTTCTAGAACGGTTCTTAAATTACTAAGTGAGTATTCTAAAATTCCAAAAATAAATATTAGTCGATTTTGGTATGCCGTAAATGTAAAAACAGTAAAATAGAACTGTTGTCTTACTATAAAATTTGTAGAAACAGATTTCACGATATATAATATTATTATTGAAACATTAAGAATTAAAATATTAATAAAAAAATAAATATGTGTTCACTCCGACTTAGAATGTTTTAAAATTGTATATTATCATATGTTTCTTACAGCTCAGATCTGATGTGTGATTGTGATGGTTTAATAATAATATGTTCCACATCGATTTTTTACGTCTTATGGAATAAAAAAAAATGTTTTTTGAAAGGGTTTTGTTGTGCCTATTTATTCCACTTTCTGAACGAAGGTACCAGATGGCTTACCTTCTCATTTTTCAAACGGTTTCCAATATAGTAGGTATGCTGAACATAGCACTAATGCGAATTTAATGGACACTAAGATGTTCCAATAAAAAAGGGGAAGTTTCTATACAGTATCAAGTATTTCATGTAGTTGCTAAAAAGCTGTTGATGATGAAAAATCAAATAGGTATAATACTTTAGTATTAACCATAATACTAACTAACATACGAGGCATTTACAATTATATGACCCGTAATTGATTAAAATTAAATAAAACTCCACCATAGTTTTTTGTTTTAAAAAATGTGTAAATCGATTATTGTATTATTTTCGATTTATTAGTACCTGTGTTTTAAGAGCAATGATTGAATCATCTACACTGAATACTTAATTTTTGTAAATATTCTATATTATTATTACATAGTACTTATGAATATTTCATTTAATTCAAAATTGCTTTAACTTTATTTTTGTTACAAATGTATAAAGAAATTCAACTTTAGTAATATTGAAACTTGAAAGTTTAAGATTGTCATATAAAACAATCGTACAATTTTAATAACAGTTCATATGTAACTATATAATATTGTCTACATAAGTATAAAATATTGAATTTTATATGCATTTTAATACCCCATACCAAAATGAAATATATTTAATTTATTATATTTAAAAGTTTCAGGAAAAAATGCGATTGTGCGACCTCATGCTGTGACCTTTGATATGGTCACCGAAAAATGAAGACGTTGGCCGGCGCCATAATACTATGCATCATGCTCGTCATAATTTCCGGTAAGTAAAATAAATTATCCTATTGACTGAAGGTTATAAGTGACTATTAAATATAATTTTTTTTTGACGTATACTGAAATAAGATACAATGAAAATACCAAATACTAGATTTATACAAATAGTTATTTGGTTTATAATCAGTACACTAATCATTGGAGTTATTTGACAGTTGATTATCTGTACCTACATCTTCCAACTTTTTCGTGTAACAAATATTGGTTAATTTTAAAGATCAGTATTAAATTATGAATAAACTAGTCAATGTACAATTATTCAGTTATTATTATTTATTTTATAAAAAAAATATCATTAAAATACTAAATAAAGAAATTGTATAACTTACGTTATGTTGTTCATGGAATAACTAATGTAGTTTATTATTTTTATTTAAACTTCTATAGAATATATTTTATTGATTTTATTGCCAGTGATTATTTATTTAAATAAAAATGTTACCTAACTACCCAGGTATTAGTGTTTCTAAAGTAATTTTGCAGGATATTAGGTAGCTCCCTCTGTTGAGCATATTTAAAAAACTAAATTGTTGTATTTCAACAAATTTGTTGGTCATAAAATAATTTAGTTTCCTTAACTTCTTTCACGAAAAAATTTGTTTGTTTTGAAACAAGGTATATTATTTTAATTATGACTTATTGGCTATTAGTTTATATCTTAGTATTTTTTAGTTTTAAAATAATTTGTTTAAAATTTAAATGAAACATTTTAAGAGACTGGTATAAAAAGTGTTTCAAAAGTTATTACGTAGTCAATCTAATTCAATTTTACAAAGTGTGTTTGATAAAAATAAAAATTAAGTTTTCAATCCAAACTTGCTTATTAAATTTGATAATATGTTAAGTTTCAATAGATATGATTAAATACTATATTCGTGGATTATACTCAGCAGGATAAAAAAAATTTAAAAACCAACGGCAAGTGTGGCTATTCAATACAGTTTGTGATTTCATATAATATAATATTAAGTATAGGTACTATTTTGGTTTGTGTTCATATGATTAGAAACATGTGATTTGTATGTATCAAAAAATTCTACATAACTGTTTAAAAATTGACTGAAATTATACGGTACGAATAGACTCTTATTAAGAAATAAAAGTAATATATTATGCAAGGTTATGTTATACCTACATAACGAGTTGATAAACTTTATCAATATTGATTAATATGTAATTTAATAAATCAAAATATATTTTTACATATTTTATACTATTATATACTATAGGTACTTACTATAGATTGTAATGAAAACGTTCTATACATAATTTTTAACAAAGCTTTAAAAGTATTTAATATATTGTACTGAAATCTGACCCCTATAATGATAAGTGGGTATTGAATCATATTAATCTAAAATTTAAATAACCACAGAATCACGATTAAATTTATAATTTTTTGTTAGACTAGCATACAATTTGTATGGAAAAAGTATTTTTTAGTTTTCTTATTTTAATATTTGACTGTTGTGGAGTTATAGCAGGTACCAACCATAAAATATAATGAAACTATAGTGGTGTCATTCCGCATATTAAATTTACAGATGAAATACATGACATATTTATTCTTTGGGAATTTTTAAATTAAAAATAGTACGAAACACTAAATTTTACATAAATTAATCGTTATCTGGATATTACTTTGTACCAACATTTAGTAAGTTAAAACAAATAATTAATTATATAAATGAAAAATATCTAGATATTAATATGTACTTAATCTTATAAGTATGGTATAATAAATAAAACGTCATGTTAAGTTATTTGTATTTAGTTACATAATATAAATAATTTATAAAGTGAAATTATTACTATAAAATTTCATAGAATATGTAAGTTATCTTTATTTTCCAATCAAATTTAAAACTTTGGTTAGGAAACATTAAACCTATAACCCAGAACCACAAAGTATAAACTTTATTTAGTAAATATTGTCATCATCATTGCCAACACAAAATAAAACATCTTACCATGTATATTTTACTTTTATAAAGAGTATTAATCATATGAGTAATATCCGTTATTCGTTAATATGGAAACACACTTTCGCGTGCTCATTAAATCCAATGAAGGTAAATCACGTTACAATTTAAGGCAGTATTATAAGATTTAAAATATAGGTACAAATGTGCAATATACAAAAAAAAATATTTTCAAGTGTATTATTTTGTTAGCATTTTATTTCGAACTGATCAATTAATAATTGTATCATTTAATTCCACCACACAATAAACGACGTACCGACTTACATAATAATAATATAGAGCTCGATGTTTTACATTGTACGTTAATAATGATGATAAAAACACAATACCTATAGGTACCCATTTATTATTAAATCATTTCGAAAAAATATAAATATATAAGATTTCCGTAACGATGCGTATATCATAATAATAATATGTGAACTTGGCGTACATAATAGGAAACTCGCAACAAGAAGCTTTTGTTCGGTTTTTTGGTCGGGGGAGGGTGGAAAAATAATCTAGACGGTTTTATAAAAAGGAAGGGGCATAATGAATTTCTGGACGACTCAATCCGCCGCCGCAGCGGTATACACGAGAATCCTGAAAAACAATTTTCTCGGCCAGATAAACGCGCCATCGGGTGGGCGGTTCTCGGCCTGGGGATGCAGACCGAACATAGGGGATTTTATCGAACCGTCCCGTTCGAGTGTATATTCGTTCCGTCGTTTTACGACTAATGGGGTTTTCAACGACCAATATTTAACGTTGCCATTTATACACCCTATGTACCATTCCAATACTATCGGTGTGGTCATCTCTCTAATGGTCAATGATATGGATCCCGCGGGCAACTCTGTATAATATGTCAAGTGACTCGGACGTATACGTTACCAGTAACGGTATACTAATAGCATATATATACCGTGTAATTGATACCGATGATGAAATACAATATAAATATGCTAAGAAACATATTGCATACGAGTCTGCAATGAAGTACCACATTTTATGTCTTTGCTGTCGCCTGTCCGTGCTAGTTGCTATCATAATATGTATCACATACCTAGGTAATATTTATAGGGTAATTGATAAAAAATAAAGACACGACTGCTATAATTGGTATACAATATAATATAATTATATTATATTGTACATTAAAATATTTTTTTCGTTACTATTGTGATAAACAAAGCGTAACGTAACGTTTTTCGATTCTATGTGCCAAAGCAAAGACATCAAGTGAAGTCGCACCTAAATATCGTGTGAAAAGCGAGTATATCGAGTTCGAATCTCGGATGAGAAAAATTATATTCTGCAATTTTTTTCGTAACGTAACGTTTTTTTTGTAACCTAACGTTTTTCGATTTCGATTCTATGTGCCAAAGCAAAGACGTAAAAGGTCAAAAGCGTTACTTGAAAGCGTGAAAGTGTAACATTAGTAGTGTTAGTACTCGTTAACCCGTTTTTTTATATTATATGCTTGTAAATTTCCAGAACATATTATTATCATTGTCAATATTTTAATATTGATGACATTTTTTATGTAAGATCTATAATAGTTGAAATATATGTCAATTATTTCGGAAATCGAATTGTTATAAACTTCGCATTACATTGCAACAATATAATATTTTTAGATTATAAACTAAACAAGAATTATATTACTTTTACAACGATGTTTTTTGTTTGACTATTCTTTTCTTCCTGCTGTGACTTTCATTTAAGGCATGGAATTGTATTATATGAAGTTAAATTTATCGTTTGGAAACCATGCCTATGTAGAAAAGTGTTCTCGTTCGTTTCCTTAAATGCAATCGAAAACTACCGATAACCGTCAACAAATATTGTTAAGGGATTTTCAGGAAGCACTATAAATGCAAAACACTATTGTATGTTTGTTTCGAGAATGTGTCCGCCATTCATATTCACGTTTACACCTATAATACTACATTAATACTACATAGGTATATTTTTTGTTTTATTTTTAATTAAGATGATGTCAGCACAATATTTGCTGTCTTCGTTTAAGACATGAGTACAATAGAATACACGTTCTTCGTATTTTTCATTTGGTGACGTTGGGGGGAGGGGGGTGATTAGAACCCAAGAAACAATATACCTATGATATATTTTAATATCAAAAATATATTACTAAAGAAAACAATATATAGATACTTAATTTTTTATGAAGTATGGAAGATAAGTATTTTATAACCGTTGTAATTTATAAAAAACAATTCTCTGCATATTATTTATTTTTACACATATTTATTATTATTAAGTCATTGAAGTAATTTGTAGAACCGTAATAACTTACGATGAACAAAAATTGTAATATTAAAAACAGCATATTATTATGTACGTAAAATAGTATACACTCGACTACTAAATTGGTTTTCTGTTACGTGTTAAATAAAGCAGCATCGCATGCAACGCTTTTATACTGTCTTATATTGAACTTAAAAAGTAGGTTTAGTTTAGTATTTTTAAATGTTTTTTATTTATTATTATTGTTAAGTTCAGTCTCGGCATCTGTGCCATTTACAGACAATTGTTTAGTTATATATTATAATATAGTTGCATTTTAACTGCAGGGTAGATAAATAGGTGTAGATTTTATTATTAGAGATTTAAAATCAAATCGTTTCATAAACTATAAAAATAAAATTATTGGAGTACCTCATACATAGTAATTATGTTAATAAATCATGTTGAATAACTAAACAGTGTGGTCCAACCCTCAGCCAGCAAAGAATTTTTTTTGAACCTCCTTAATAGATGAAACTGTATTTCATAATTTAAATATTGTTTTGAGAGGTATACATTTAGTAAAGCTAGATCGATAAATGACCACAATATAGAATATAAACTATATAGCATACAGTGTATACACATTGCACAGTATCACTATTCTGGTCTCAATATTGTTCAAATAAGAAAAATAATAATCTGTGCCGATCGTGAATATTCTCTAAAAATCGTTTTATTTGTCGGCTGTTTAAATCAGTGGTGGTCCAATACAATGTTATACAATTTTTGTGCATTGGTTTTAACTTTGAAACATTAATTTTATTGTCTTAGGATGTTCAATGAATCCGGATGCGAAAAGGCTGTACGACGACCTTTTATCAAATTACAACAAACTCGTAAGGCCTGTGCTCAACAACACTGATCCGCTACCAGTACGGATTAAGCTCAAACTATCACAGCTCATCGACATTGTAAGTTACGATAAAAATAAGAAATTATTATTATTATTATTATTATTATTAAAGTTAAAATTGTATTATATTATATTTTCAATGATACCTAGTGGCTAGTTCACTTATAACTAGACCGTTAATCTTTATAATCATAGTATAACAATTTTTAAATTATTCAAAGTATTTGATTTAATGTTTACAATATTCTTGTGATTCAAATTTAGATTAGATAAATTAATTGTTACTATCAAAATAGGTATACGGAAATATACGAATGAGTCATATAATATTTTAATGTTATAAAAGCTAAAAACTTGAACTTTTTACATATTATATAACTTTGATAATAGGTATACCTATAGTCTAAACTATAATTATATTAGGCTTGGTAAAATGGCAGAATAATTTTACTATACAAAGTACAGAAGTATAAAAGTGTGAAATTTGTTACTCATTTGTGGTCTTTTGGGGGAGACCAAACATTTAAAAAAAAAAACACCTATATTTGGGTTTGATAAAATAAAAGTATAAAAATAGGTAGCCATAGAAATGTAAGTAATTGTTTCACATGGGTGCTGTCCTAGTTTTTTTTCTATAATTCAATATGTATATCATAATAATATGTAATAAGTTATATGTACATTTTATTTATGAACAGTATATATTTTGTTTTTATTAAATTTATCAAATGATCATGTTATACACTTTAAGTCTGACTTTGATAAAACATTTTGTATCTATAATAATATGTTTTTAGGCGTATGTATCAATAGTTATAGTTTATACATAATTATTCTGAATCTGAAAGTTTTCTGAAAATTGGTTTTTACATTTTTTTGTAGGTCTTATAAATATATTAGATATTAATTTATCGTGAGTACGTGGTGCATCTAATCCTACCAAAATGTATAAAATAAAACATTGAAATATTTCATAAGATCATATTTTATGATCTCTATTTATAAAAGACATATGTATAAAACAATAAAATTGGTTCATCAAATAAAATAAAATATAAAAATACCAAAACAATTTGAGGAAATAATTTAGAACTGTAAAATTCCAATGCGTTTTTCAATACTATACCAATTACAAATGCAAAATAACATAAAATATAATATTACATAGGTACTTAAGGTGGTCGGAGCCGGTGCGTTTTTTGGTACAAAAACATGTCTTACAGGAAAAACTCTCACGCCCTGTAGAATTGTCGGATTTCGGATTTTTTTTTTATCTAAAAGTAGAGAACATTTTGTAGGTTGGATTAAAGCTCGATTTTGAAAATTATAATTATAGAAGCTGGAATATGCATTTGAAAAATGCTCAATATTTGTTCTTTTTCGAACGTAATTTTCTACTACTATTTAAAGTAAAATAAAAATTCTATCTTTAACCCGACCTACAGAAACTTCCCATCTTTCAGATAAAAAAAAATTGATTAAGATCCGACATATCTATGAGGCATGAGAGTTTTTCCTGTGAAACCAATTTGCATATCAAAATAGTGCTTCGATAGTAGTCATCGAAGTCTGACACTGATTTGTTCATGCGCGTGCATACATATCTTTATCAGCGCGTGTAATTATAGCTCACTCACACTAATATCGATTTACATTCTCACACACATGCACGTTCCACGCAAGGCCGATACAACATGTGAATTAATTGGCTAAATTTTACTCCTTAATAAATGACCGGCACCGACACCCTTAAGGCAATTTTCTTCAAGTTAAAAATCAGCTATATCATGTCTTTGTTATTATATGCTTTGTAAGAAATAATGAACAATAACTCAAATAATAAACATTTGAAATTATAAAATCGCATTTGTAATTATATATTAGTATAGAGTTTGAAGAAACACAAGTTGTTTTTTGTATTTTAATACAGTTACAAAATAATAAATTAAATAACCAAATATTTCCATATTGTATAATGGTGAAATAAAAAAAATACAAACAAAATTATTGATCAAGAACTCTAGAACTCGAATCAATCGAAAAATTGGAATAAAATAAATATAACTATAATAAAATAAATTACATATTAGGTATGTGTTATAATATAATTTTACTATTAATATTAAATATAAATTAAGGAAGATAAATAAAATATAATTATTAAATAGACAAATAATTAATGTATAAATATCTTATACTATTATTCATTATAATTTATAATTTATAATTTATATGACTTCGACTAACTACAGTTATTTATCTAAATATAATTTATTTTTAAGTCATATCTAAAAATTATATGAAATGAAAGAAAGATGTTTAGAAGTTATAAAAACAAATAACGTTATACCCCAAATCAGCATAAAATAAAAAAAAAAGTAAAATCATAGAAACAAATTTACAGTTGATAAAAAAATAAATCATAATATGAAGGCTTGTTACTTTATTTTTACCATTAAAAAAACTAAGGCACAAAAATATATGTTTAGAAGAATATCTTGTTAATAAAACTATTGCATTAAAATAAGTATATAACAATTTGTTAGAAATACAGCAACAATAAAATAGACAGAAGAAGAATGAAAATTGTATTTTTGACTACAATAGTAGACTATGACTTATTTGACAGGAAAATATGGAGTGAAATATTATAATAATGGCTTGAACATAAACGAATTTATAGAACTTAATAAAAATAGATTACTACTAAAAAACAATTTTTTTTATTTATTGTTAAGTTGTAAGATATAATTTAGATTTAATAATAAACTAAACATATTCAAGCCTTTTAAAGGTTTTTAAACAAATTTAATAGCAATTTGTATATAGTGCTAATTTCCAAGCAATTCTATATTTAAGTACATCATAAGTCTTTAAAGATAAAAAAAATAGGATATATTACAAATGAGACATTATATTATATAACAGCAAGATGTTTTAAAATTGGGAAACAGTTGACAGCACAAAGCATAACAACACGCTGAATTATAGTAGAATATATTATTGTAGCTGATTTAAAACTTTCAAAGTAATTGATCTAATTACTTATTAGGTAGATAATTTTATTATGTTATGAGGGATAAGCAAAAATTAATAATGTAGGTATATTAGTTATACAATGATAACATTTTTTTTATTTTAGCATATTATGTCTGTTTAAAAGTTTATTTCTTTAGTTAGTATTGTTTGTTATTATTTCGTATATATATTTATCGACATATAAGAAGGAGTGCTCCAATAGTCTTACGAACTTACACCAAAAGATTAAAAGTAAATTGTAGAATCTAGCTGGTATGTAATTGGTTTTTCTAAGTAATTTTTCTAATTATTATCTTGGCAATTATTCCGATAAAATGGAAAAAGGAGACATTTACAGCGTACGTAATCGATTTTGTTAATATAAAAAAAAAAATAATTCTATAAACTTTGTATAAAAATGTGTCAAATATGTTATATTTGAAACTGAGAAATCAATTTACTTATGTGAAGAAAAATGTATTTCCATATCGTATGAAAAACAACAAAAAGCATACGTCAAGCTGTTGCTAAACTTTCATAGATAGGTGGGCAAGGATTTTTAAGGTATGGTTGCTAGAAAAAAATGTAGAGATCAAAACAAACAAGTGTCGTAAATCAAATATATCATGTAGGTAGTATGTACCAAAATAGTATTCTACTTTGGGATATAAAAATATTACATTTTCTTAAATTATTATTATTATTTATAGGTAACAAGAAATAATTCAAATACATATGGGCTATTTGTCTTAATAATGTTTAATTATAATTATGTTAGTAAACAAAACCACCTATAATTGAATACATGACTTGGCTTTTAATTTTTGATAACCATATAAATGTTCTGTTATTGATCAAACAGAATTTACTGTCATTATTTGTACATGCTAGGTTGTCTAAAATGTTTTTAGTAAAAGCCCGAATCAAATTATGCTTTTCAACATTTACTGAGTACGATTAAATCCTAGCATTCACTGGTAAAACCTAGCTTTATTTAGAAAGTTTTTGATCTCGTGCTTTGTCGGTAACATAATATAGGTACCTAGGTACATGTAAATATGCAATCCATATTTTATACAACTCTATAATTTTGATGAAATACCAGAAACGTTTTAATCAAGTACCCAGTACCTAGGGAATATAGGGTAATATAGCCTATAGGTATATTATGCTTTAATAATATAAAATAATGCAATACTATAATGTTACTATAATTGATCATTGATATAAGTAGGTCCATTTAAAATATCTTACGATTAATACTATCAGTAGTGGGTAATTTGTGTTGTTGTTTTTTACTTTGCACAAATTCATAAACTCACTCAAAAAAGGTACCTATCAACAAGTTCCTACATAAAATAGTTTTCAAGCGGATATTTTGTATTTAAATTCCTACCCTACCTATGTCTATAGTACCTAGGTCACCGTCTCACATGGGTTGCCCACATACGCAACAAACGACTAGTTCTAAACAATCGTCAAAGACAGCTTCGCTTCCTCCTTTCATTCAAACAATGTCACACTACATAATTTAATTCATATCTACAAGCTACTCCTCAAACCTATCTGGTCCTAGTGTCCTACTGAATTATACTCTGGGGATCAGCCAAAGACTCAACTATAAACAGAATCCAAGCATTTCAATCTTAATGCCTCTGGCAGATAACCAAAGCCCCTTTTTTTATATAATTTATATATAGTCTACATGGGGACCTCCTTATTCCAAGGATCAAAAACGTTGCTAAAACTCTATATAAACGCTGCCACCTTAAACTAACAAATCACCGAAACCTCCTCATTCAAAACCTCTCTTCCCGGACAATTCCCGGTGACTCTGTCCGACCTTTAAAGCGTAGCTGGTCCGTGACTTACTAGTCGACTAGTCGACTAACCACTGCTACCCACGCCATGAGGTACTATTATTGAACATTTTCTTTAATCAAGACAACCAAGCCTTATGTATCCTTCCATCTGTTGTGCGTATTGTAAAAATATTTTATACAGATTGTAAAAATTAAATTAATATGAAAAAAAAAGAAT